GTTAGATATAGTGCTGCCATGATCATGGCTTCGGCGACGAGAATAGATATTACCATTATGCCTACCGCGGACTTTGTCGATATCGGATACGGCCTTTCGAACCTCAATGCTGGTTGGCGTATTTTGGCGATCACAACCACGGCTCCCACGAGGGTGAACACGATGTCTGAGTGTGTCCGATTCTCGTCGCTTACGAGATGTTGACGGAGCAGGCGAAGCAGAGATACTACCACTATTTAATTGACGAAAGTACCCTTGCTTTTTGTTGTTACGGTGGTGATTTTCCACGGCCTTTTTTGCAGCGGGGCTAGTGCCATTGCTCATTTTGTCTTTAATGACGGACAAAAGGTAGTCGGCACGGCGCACTAAATGAACAGCACCAGGGGATTTCATGCCTTCACCGTTCCGGGTCAGTTCACTTTTGCGATCCGCTCGGTGTTCTTCCAGGAAAAACTTGTCGGCAAGAGCTAAATCAGGATCATCACGGATCTGAGCCCAGGCCCCATATCCGTGGCGAGCGATTCCTACGCAAAGCATCCCATCTTCCCGTGCCCCCCAGGTACAAGAGTAGTCTGCAGCTTTCGTCGCCTCTGGGACCCGGAAACTCTTCGGATCAGCTAAACCTGACGTGACCTGTCTCAGGAGCTGCATCTCGTTGGGACGCTCAACAATTGTTTCTGCATTCAAACGCTTCACCCCGCCATAGTTAAAAAGCACTGCCTTCCGTTCCTTTTTGGTGAATGTTTTGCCCTCGCGTTCAAGAGCCCGGATTTCGTCGTTTGCCCGCTGCAGGTGATGGTTGGCAGATTCAATTATTTCTTTAAGTACCCTTTTCACAACAGAAGGATCTCGATCCTGGAGTTTCGCTTCCCGGAAAATGTCTGCCTCGCGGTCGTCCAAATCGCCATATCTCAGATATGCACGGGCAAGGTGACGGATTTCCTTCTCAGTAAGGGGTCGTTTCGGGTCCGGTGGTGGTGACGCGTCAGAACCATCGCTGACATCTACGTTCACTTGCTGGCGAGCCCTTCGTTTTGCCTGCCTTTCCTGTCTTTCATCCGTCATTTCTTTCCGCTTCCTAGGCTGGCCACGTTCAAAGTTTTCTGCGAGATGCCTGGCTTCCAACTCTTTTTGTTCTTCACCCTTAATCTTTTCCAATTCTTCTTTCGGGATTATTTCATCCCAGGTCAGGTCGTCCACTTTAACATCAACAAACTCAAAGGCTTTGAGAAATTCCTCACCGCCGTCGGCTTCCATGCCTTCAGCTTGTTCGGTTTTGTGTTCCTCGGCGTTTGCAAGAACAGTGTCGATATCAAGTTCCTCTAATTTCTTTTGATTGCCGGATTGCTCAAACATCCGCTGGCCGCGCCGTTTCAATATACGGGATATATCTTCGGATGAGGTAGGCTCATTCACATGGTGACCCGCGCGGACCATCTTATCTTTTAATTCTGTGGCCTCTTTGTCTGTCACCCCTCTTTGGATAGTAATGAATTCAAGAAGTAGCTTATTCCTAGCTCTCTCTATAACTTCTTCTTCGACTGTATCTTTTGATACAAGTCGGTAGACACTAACGGGTTTCGTCTGCCCAATTCGATGCGCGCGTGCCATCGCTTGCAAGTCAGCCTGCGGATTCCAGTCCGAGTCGAATAGTATGACGGTATCTGCTGTCATTAAATTTATCCCGAGCCCTCCGGCACGGGTCGAAAGCAGGAAAGCAAAATCAGTGCTGTCGGGGGAATTGAAATGTTCAATTGATAAACGACGCGGCCCAGCTGCAATAGTGCCGTCCAATCGTTGATAGGCGAAATTCCGGGCTTCCATGTAGTCAGCAAGGATATCGAGCATGCGAACCATCTGACTGAAGATGAGAACCCGGTGGCCGTCATTCTTCAATTTCGCTAGTAGTTGATCTAGTAGCATCATCTTGCCGCTACTAGTAATCAAAGCTCTTAATGCATCCTCTCGACGAGTGCTACCCTGCAAGATTCGCTCTTCTGCATTGGCAAACATGAAAGGGTGGTTACTTGCTTTTTTCAGCTCCATCATGATATTAAGTAGGGATTGTTTTTGACCTTTAGAGCCCTGGTTGAGAGCGGCATAATTCTTAGTGAGAATATTTTTATAGTACTCCAATTGCACATCTGAAAGTTCAACACGGATGATCTTTTCTGACTTTGGCGGCAAGTCAGTTTCGACCTTAGACTTTGTGCGGCGGAGCATAAATGGCTGGATGGCTTTGGTCAATTCGGCCAATTTGAAACTTGCCATCTCTGAGCTGAGATCCATATCCTCATCGATTTCAATCAATCCCGGATTTAGGAAGTCCATCAAAGCAGAAAGCTCTCCGAGATTATTTTGGACCGGGGTTCCTGTGATTAACAGCCGACTTGGTGACTTGAATTCAAGTAATTTTGCATACAATTGAGAATCTCGATTTTTCAAGCGGTGCGCTTCATCAACAGCAAGGAACTGCCATCTGATTTGGCTAAGGAACGATGCGTCGACCAGTACGTATTCATAAGTAGTCAAAAGGACATGGAACTTTGGTCGCTTGATATTGCCGTCGACAAGCAGCTCGTATTCCTTGATTATATTCCGAGACGCTTCATTCCCACTGTACACCACATAATTCAAATCTGGTGTCCAATAATCGAACGTTTCAGCCCATGATGGCATTGTGGACAACGGTACTACCACGATGAATGGTCCTTGTTGGTTTCTCATATGCCGTAACCAGTTGATAAACGCGACAGTCTGAACCGTCTTGCCCAAACCCATTTCATCCGCAAGAACGACATTTCGGCCACGAACCCAGTTATATGCCATAAAGTTGACACCTTTCACCTGGAAGTCCTTTAGTTTACCGTTGCAGATGAAATCTGGGGTTCCATGAATGGGCTCGAACGCCGATCGAGTCGCCTGGTTCGACTCCAGCCTATTAGAGACAGGGGGCCGGGAGCATCGGTCAAGGTAACGGTCAATTTCTTGCTGAGCAATATTACTGACAAGCTCCGCGGGCTCCCAGGTGCAATTTTCATAGAAAAGCCGTTTCCATTTAACATAATATTCAGTAGTGTTGTCAACTTTCCGGGAGCCGATGACACGTTCGACGAGTTTGAAATCCTCTATAGCTTCGATGTCCCGCTCACGGTCTAAATTCCATTTCTCTTTTTCTTCTGGGGCCAGGTCTAGATTATTAATAAAGGAGACCTCTTGCACGAGCACCTTTCGGACATAGTTATCAAGGCGTCGCGTACTACGGCACCCAACAAGCGACTCGTCCGTCTCCCAGGTTGCATGGTAATGTGACCTTCCCTGCCACTTGATATAAAACTCGAAGTCTGAGCGATCAAGGCCAGGTTTGGTAGAATCCATCCCTTCTTTCAATCGATGATTAAGAACAACATCTATGGCGGGTCTGTTGTCATCGACAACGTTCGCCCAATCCAAGGGTGTCATCATATCCGATTCGTCTCCAAACAAATCATCGTCGGCATCTTCATTGTAGTTTAAGATTTTGTTGGAACGACGCGTAGAAAACCGTAGTTCCGCATGAGCTGGAACCAAGTCGGCCTTCGACTGCGCCAATCGGTGGCGTCTAAGTTTCCGACTACTATACGAGTCGCTATAAATATCGCTTGACGAGTCGGAGTCAGAGTGTGTGGAGTGTGAGGGAGATGATCGGCTTGACGGAAGTTGGGGGCGCCTCCTCTTTATGGGTCTTGCAATCTCATCGGACTCGGAGTCAGTCGCTGTCTGGAGAGCCTGACGGGCCGGACGCGTGCGACTGCTTCGGCGCAACCCATATAAACTTGGATTATTCCGAATATAGTCACCCTCGTCAAAGGGAGACTTTCGCTTCACACCTCTTTTCGATCTAAGGTCCGACGAGCTTGACGATCCGGACACGATCTCTGGGCCGTCTGAAACATCTTCCATATGGGAATCGCCATCTCCGTCCACGGAAGATGAAACGCCCTGGCGAGAACTAACGACGTCGTAATCCGAGGGGGACTCTGGCGTTATTCTATGTGCTGCGTCGTCTACATCAGGAGGTGTAATTTGATGGGCACCAGCGGAGGTGCCGTTCGGATCGTACGAAGCTTCAGGATCAGATTCATGGTTGTTTCCCTGGCTCATCAGAGTCGCCTCTTCCAGATTTGCCAGTTTATCCACAATCTCGATCGTGTGTTCAATTGCTGCAAGAGCCGATGTTGTTGTGCTCGGGATCACCATGGCTGTGGCTACGGCAGCGAAGTTAACATTGCAGCAGAATTAGGGATGGAGGAGCATCATAAACGGCACAGACAGATATCAAGAACATACGCGACGCAGAATGCAAAGCGACGAAGCCATCTGAAGCTAGTATAGCGCGAAAATATGAAGTTAAAACAGATTCAAGCCGCGCCAGAAGGGTAGATGAAATGGGAGATGACGGGGGTGACAGTGGAAATTATGTTTGCAGGTTAAGAAAGCGGCCGCTAGACCAAGCTAGTAGAAATATGCAAAACTGGGTCTCCAACTTCATGCTGAAGAATTATCAAAGCGCATACAAGAAGCATTGGGATCGCAAGGCAAACCGAGGACGGCAACAAATGATGCAGAACGGCGACGAGCAGAGAGTAACAGTAAAGCGAAAGGAAAAAGTAACTGGAAACTTACGATCCATATCTTGGACCCACCCAAGCAAAAGGGTACGTGAGGCCAATGTCGCCCGTTAATGGGATACGCGGTGCTGAGAAATGGTGGGAGGGCAGGGGAGCTCTGGGGTGATGAACTGAGAGTTTGATGGAGGGAGAGAATCGTTAGAGTGGTTGGAGGAAGCGCCTCGCCAGTGGGTGAAGAGAAAGATGCCCAAAGCGGCTTAGCCTCGTGAGGAGCAGGCGGCTGTTCCTGTTTGGGCCTTAGCGCCATCTGCCATCTGGGTTGTTCTGACATAAGCATATCCCACCTTTTAGTTGCTCGATCACACAAATTTCGCCTTTCCGTCCAAGTTGATATTGCTTCGTCCTGCACAGACTATTCTACTCTCTTTAGAATCCCCTTATGCTGAGAGGTGAATCGATCCGGACTCGACCTTCGTGAGCCAGTTACATAAAGCCCTAGGCCTTTGCAAATAGATTCGAGTTGTGTGTCCTAACACACTGCGGGGCTACTTTGAATCAATTGTGTTTCAAGCCGGGAAGACAAACGGAACTCTGTGATCATGTCAGATAAACTGACTCGGTATGTCTATATCGAACAAGCCGTCCTTTCTTTCTACTAATATTTCACTTTGTTGCAGAATTGCGATTGTCAATAGTGACAAAGTATACCCCGCACCTGCTCTTCGCCTTTCCTCCTGAAGACTTGTGTGTTTCATTGCTGATCTTGGGATTTCTGTCTTGATAGTGCAAGCCAAAAGTGAGTTGTATCCAGAGCTTGAATGTTTGCACTTGTCCCATGCTAAATCGTCGTCGACCTAGAAATGCCGCCAAGAATGCAAAAAATCCTGCCCTGTTGTGCGGACGGGTAAACTATGCATCGAAGTAACACCGGAATCCAAAATTGCGTTTATATCAGAAAGGTTGTGTATAGGGTGTGGCATTTGTCCGAAGAAATGCCCCTTTGGCGCAATTCACATCATCAATCTTCCCACAAACCTTGAAACGCAGGTAACACATCGATATTCGGCGAATAGCTTCAAGCTCCACCGGCTACCAATGCCACGTCCAGGCCAGGTTCTTGGTTTAGTTGGGACAAACGGTATTGGGAAAAGCACTGCGCTGAAAATTCTTAGTGGGAAATTGAAACCCAACCTTGGCCGCTATGACAACCCGCCAGATTGGGAAGAAATCCTGAAATATTTTCGTGGATCCGAACTTCAAAGTAGGGACTTCTATTTAAGATTTTCTCCATCATTACATCTAACAGAGGCCATAGATTACTTCACCAAAGTCCTTGAAGATGATCTTAAAGCTGTTGTGAAACCACAATATGTTGACCAAATCCCCAAAGCTGTCAAAGGCACTGTGAAATCTGTGGGTCCTCTCATAAAGGCCCGCGCACAGATGGGCAACATGGATCATGTTATGGAAGTCTTAGGTATTCAAATCGTTTGACCTGTTACTCGTCTCTAGTGCTAATTTAATCTCGTTTGAAGAACTTAATCAAGTTAGGGATCGCGATATTGGCTTACTGTCAGGTGGAGAACTCCAGCGTTTTGCAATCGGCCTTGTCTGTGTTCAGCAAGCAGATGTGTAAGCTTCGAGTTCTACCCTTAGGTCTCGTTCTACGGCTTAACCTCGAATTCTAGTTATATGTTTGACGAACCATCCTCATATCTGGATGTCAAACAGCGTCTCAGTGCAGCCCGGACCATCCGCGAATTACTTCGACCCGATGACTACGTAATCGTTGTGGAGCACGACTTATCTGTTCTTGATTATCTGTCTGACTTTATTTGCGTGCTCTATGGCCGCCCGGCTGTTTATGGAGTTGTGACCCTCCCTGCTTCTGTTCGCGAAGGAATAAATATATTCCTAGACGGCCACATCCCTACAGAGAATCTTCGTTTCCGAGAAGAGTCTCTTACCTTTCGAATCGCGGAAGCCGGTGATGATTTCATTGCCGACCAAGGCAGGGCCTTTAGTTACCCAGCAATGGAGAAAACACTTGGCTCTTTCCATCTTAGTATTGAAGCCGGCAGGTTTACAAATTCTGAAATTGTTGTTATGATGGGAGAAAACGGTACTGGTAAAACAACATTCTGCAAAATGTTAGCTGGGGTGGAGAAGCCTGATGGTGGAAAGGCTGTTCCTGCCATGAATATTAGCATGAAACCTCAAAAGATTACGCCCAAGTTTCAAGGAACTGTTCGACAATTGTTCTTCAAACGCATCAAAGCTGCGTTCCTTTCTCCCCAGTTTCAGACAGATGTCTATAAACCTCTCAAGATTGACGACTTCATTGACCAAGAAGTACAAAACCTTTCTGGTGGAGAACTTCAGCGAGTCGCTATCGTTCTTGCCTTGGGAATGCCCGCTGATATTTACCTGATCGATGAACCGAGTGCATACCTCGATTCAGAGCAGCGTATTGTCGCCGCTCGCGTCATCAAGCGATTCATCATGCATACCAAGAAAACCGCATTTATCGTCGAGCACGACTTCATCATGGCTACTTATCTTGCTGATCGAGTTATTGTTTTCGACGGCAAGCCGTCGATCGATGCGAAGGCAAACAAGCCTGAGTCCCTCTTAACAGGCTGCAATAAGTTCTTGAAGAATTTGGACGTCACATTCCGGCGCGATCCAAATAGTTTTCGGCCCAGAATTAATAAAGACAAAAGCCAGCTAGATCAGGAACAAAAGCTGGGTGGGAACTATGTGGGTGATTAATTCCTCGTTCCTCTTTTCCTTGCTAACACATGCGCAGTTCTTCCTAGAAGATGAGAGCTAAGGCTTAGGATACAAAGCTATTTCCAACGGGGCTCACTCAGATACCAGTCTTGTGCACAAGCCTACTTTGGTTTACAGCCTTCGGGAGGCTTTTACCGCCTTGTGATCTGGATTAACAGCATCATCCCGCTTGGCGCTGTGTTAACATTGAAACGGCCATTAGGCGACAGTTCCAAGGGCGTCCCAATCCTTTTTTTCCCCTGTTGCTGAGATGCACTGTCCCAGAGCCTTGTATGCGGTCGTCATGCGGACTGGGAAGCCCCACGCAAATTACCGTAATTCCCTAGGACGCCTTAGAGCAATCCAGAAAGCCGGGGGCCAACAGCTGTAGTGGTGGTCCATTATGACCTTTCCTAGGTGCAGCGGACATGAGATATGTGGTCAGTCGAGGATAGGTTCCATATGGCTTGTGCTCTCCTGAAGTGCCATCCAAGGTAGTCTTGAGGTTAAGCTTTGCACTTTACATTTAAATATTACTTTCCTTGGTCCTGATTTCATAGTTTATGTTCAGATTAATGGTTCCTTGCATCTTGAAAAAGTCCTTGTTCAAGTCATATTGCGCTAGGTATACTCTTTACATGACAGGAAAAATCACTTCATACAGAGTACTCTGTTAGCTGAAAACACCACCATCCTTCTAAGAACATCTATCCTCAGCAATTATGCACCTAGGGCATGCCAGACAGAATTGTGAATGAGCTACTCACTTAAGCTTGTTAGCTCCATTAATTTGTGGGAATGAAGTATGTTAAGGAATGAAAACAGTCTTTCACGCGAATGGAGGGAAGCAGCATCTGTCTGATGTTGATGGAGTTAAAATATACATAGTTAACTGTATGCCTTGAATGCTGCCCGTTCAATCCTCCTCGATTTCACCTTCTTCACTACCTGAGTGAACGGCTGGATTTTCTTTGCCACGGAAACATTCAGTATTTGAATTCTCGGACGCAATATCCATGCATGAGCCTTTAGTAAGTAGCCTTTGGCTTTCCTTGTCCCTTCTAGGCCGATCAGCCATGCGGTCAGGATCCCTGCCATCTCGCCTGTAGCGTTTTGCGCCACGACTTCCCACACTCTCAGTTTCACTATCTCGACGTCGCCGCCGTTCACCGACCATTTGACTGGATGTGCTCCGGGAAACCTCTTCAACGCCATAATCAAGTTCCTCACGGCTACTTCTCGGGTCGGCACGGCTTGGATATAGCTTTTCACGCTCTTCTTCCCAGTCACGGCGCTCTCGATCATAATGACCAACGTGGCGACTACTTGGCCTTTCACGCTCTCGTTCTCGTTCTCGATCCCGATCCCTGCCCCGGCCCCGGCCTCGTTCTCTATCCCTATCCTTCTCCCGGTGTGACGTGGGAACCGGCGAAAGTCCACTGGCTTTTCGATAGGATCTCTCGCGATCTGCCTGTGCCTTCCGGCGATCAGCTTCGTAAGCATCCGGTTCCGGTGTACGGCTCAAACGGCTCGTGGCTCTTCTTTCGGCCCGGTAAGTGGCATGGGTACTGCGGTGGCCACGCTCCGAACGGTCCAAGCGATCAAAGCGGTCATAAGCCTCACGGCGGTCACGGTCGCTTGCTTCACGGTCTCTCTCGGCATCCTCTTCCTTTTCTTTAAGGCGACGAACAGCCTTGTCAAATGCTGAGCAGCGTAATTCCTCATTGTCGACAGCATGATACTCCTCAGTCTTTTCAACCCTTTGCTTCACTTGTTCCCATGTATCCGAAACCCGAATAGGCGGGTCGAGACGCTTGATCCTTGACCGCAACGCATCTACAGCGCGGCGTTGATGACGACTCGCCGCATGTTTCTCATCCTCTGTTCTCCGAACCACTTTTTCTCGAAGGCGATTGAAAATAAGCTGAAGTGTTTCGTGATCAATTCTTTCTGTGCGGCGGTCAGCTTTCATGATAAGAGCAAATTCATCGAAGGTCGTCTTTAATGTAAGTTCATAACGTTTGTCCTATAACTTGTGAGCAAATCGTGAGCGGATTTCTAACGAGCAAGCAGCTACTCACGTCTAGGACATCAAGGACATCGTTTCGTGGAGCTCTCAATGACCGCTCTTCCTCTTCTACCACGTCCCAAAACAGATCCAGTGGGGTGGAGCCAGGTTGGCCGAGCATATGTTTGTACCGGATGTCCTCTTGAATAAGTGGGAAAAGATCCATCCATTTGCTGCCAGCCTTGATTTTACCTTGATTCCTAAAATCTCGTAACAAGTCCACAAAATTATCTCTGTTTTGACGCTCCCTCCGCATTTTATTCGCTTTTTGTTGCTGCTTTGCATCGTTGAATGTTCGTTCCAGAAGTTTTATATGGTTTTCGAAAGCTATGAGGATATCTGACTGTGTCAAGATTTTTGACTGTAATTCGCTTTGGATTTGCCCATTTGAATAAATCAGATCCCGCGCCTCCGACCAACGTGTGTATGGTTCCAAGTCCAAACCTCGTAGGATCCCAGCAAGATTCTCCTTTGAGATTTTCCGCATGTTAGCTTCCGCTTCTGCAGTATCCTTCTTAAGTTCCAATATATACTCTTCGAAAAATTGGCGCCGCTCATTCTCATCGCTTGTAGATCTGAAAATTGTTTCACATTGGATGATAGGGTAGATGGTTTTCCATCGACTATAATGTTTGATTTCTGGATGTCTTCGCAGCATAGTACCAAAATCTGTTCTTAATTTGGCCAGTCTTTCCTTTGCGCGGTCTTTTTCTTGGGTGAGGGCTTCAACCACATATTTCTCGAATGCAGCCTTACGGTCTCGCGGATCTTTTAAAGCACGGTATTGAGGGTCCCTGATCACGACACGCATCGCTTGTTCCCAATTCCAATCCGCTTGTACGCCATGCCGTTTAAGGAGTTTCATAAAAGCGGCTTCTGCATCTTCAAATGTGGGATAATCCAGTTCGGCGTGCTGAGAACCAACAGTGCCGTTCATTTCAGCTGTACCATATAAGGTTCGACGTTCGCCAATATTGCGCTCATGGTCGGCACGGTCCCGGTGTGGCGGGTATGCACTCAGAGTTGTTACACCACCAGCGACGAAATCAGCTGTTCTAGAAATATTCATGAGATTACATCTAACTTCAAATAATCCATGAAACTTACCCGGGCGTTAGTCTTCCTAGATCTTGCCCCTTGGAAAGGGCATTCTTATAAATATCAGGCATTTCCCAAGAGCTCTTCTTTGTCTCCGTGTTGTACCAGTATTTTCGGCCCCCTTCGGCGGTATACTCTTTCCATGGCTGATTAGCCAGGGCGCGCTGGGATTGTAAATTAGCAACCTTGAAATCAAAGCAAGACGTACGACACAAAACATACTTCCTGCGAGGTCATAAGCTCGAACGGTTTGGCCCATTGGGTAGCCTTGGTTTGGACATTGTAGTAATAGACTCGCCCGTCCGCATTCCGAGCCTCCTGCCACAGTGGAAAAGCTGATACGGGATTGGAGCCCATGGTATCCATGATAAGCGAATGAGTTGCCTGTAAGGAGCAGCAAGGAGCCACGAAATCCGGACCACTGTGCTGATCAGTGATGGAAGATTTTAGCTGCAAGAAGTACTAGCTGGTCACGTGGTGTATGGCTAACTCCATAGGGGTTCAGACAACGGGCTAGTAACTAGTTAGTGGATGTAGTACAAGCCTTGATCCTTTTACTGGCATGTATGTACGGAGTACTTCAAGATTAGTCGGTACCGATCAAACTTGAAAACCGCGACTGTGCATGCTGGCATCCAAATAACCACTATTAGCGGGCACAGGTCAGTTGGCCCAGTAAGTTGCTCTGTAACCAAGTGCTCGCTTTACCAACAGCCTCCACCAACCCCACCCAACTTCAGTCTGAAAACATGAGTGCTGCTGACTTTCTCAGCAATGCGAAAATCCACACGATCATTCCCCAAGCATCGGAGGTCAATCTCGAAGAGGCTTTGAAATTGTCATTAGAACGAGACGTTGGGAGCTGTCAATTACCCTTTACCACTCTCCCACAGCGCAGTCTACTCTTTTTCGGTGAGAACTCCGCCGCAGCATGCAGGGCCTTCCTTTCTTATCAAAAGTCCATAGATGAGCTTGTTACCGTGTACATTGCCCTCCAATTGGAGAAATCCACGGACACTACTTTGAAATCTCATTTACCAGGAGCATCAATTCGCCTAGATGTCTTTACGGCGCATGCTGAAGGCCTACAACCCAACTTTGAAGATGCTTCAACAAGAGAACTCATATGCTCCGGTTTCGTACAAGATGTCGATGACCCCCTTGTCATTATTCATACAGTGGATAGTGATGAATATAAACATGACTATATATATGTCATTTGGAAAGTAGATGCCTACTTGCGTACGTTCTGCGACACCGCACAACCTTTTCCTCCTAACGAAGACTAGGTCGACCACGAACCCGTCTTCAACAGCCTTGTGTGGTTTTCATGGCGTCTGCAACGTTTAGCCCGCCGAAAGTAGTTGTCGAAGATGATTACTTACCCAGCCGTGCGCCTGCTTCACTAAACATCTTCGAAGCCTTGCGACACGACCCTTCACTACATGCTTCCAAACCTCACCTTCCTACCTCGAGGCTTTTGCATGTGGCACCCTCAAAAGCTGAGGGTCGAGCTTACCGTATATCACAGCCACTGCACAATCCCATACGAATCATTCCTGTGGCAAGCGCAAAAGTTCGCTACTCACGATTGAATACCTACTCGAGCACCGCAGTGACAATGGCAAGTTTAGATTTCGAGGTAACCCCGTTTACAAAACTCGATATGGTTTTGGAATCAGTTGACCTCTCATTATCGGCTGGTACTGTGACAAACATGAGTTTGGCATGCGGATCTGGACTGCCCATAGTTTGCCGGGCTCGAGACGATATCACACTTGTTTTCAAGCTAATCCCCGATGAGAATGGATGCTCGTCTGTATCGACAACCGCCACCCATTCTGCCCTAGATATCTCCATTCGTGCCTTGGTCTTACTTTCCCAAGATTGTCGGCCCAAAATTTTGATGCGCTGGAAAACAAATGTCGACTTCTCCTTGCCTTTGAATCCTACGTTCGGGGGCCCGAGCCAGGTATTGCAACGGAATAGTCGACCAACCAACCTATCAATGGCTCCAGTCGACGAGGCATTCTCCAAAATACACCCTCCTTCCTTCGCAGCCTCATCGGCTATTAGCCATGACGTTGCCATGTCCTTATATGCTCCGAGACACATCGAGGCTTCCCAAACGTTTGACTGGGATGTATTTGTAGTCAACCGCTCCGACAAACCAAGAACATTCGCGATGCTCGTACTACCTAATAAGAGTTCCCGTTTCCAAAATTTCATTCCTAATCGAGCACCGTTATCGATACTAGACGCAGAGGATGTCGCAAATGCGGTAACGAATGAAAATCACATTTTGTCAACAACGCAAAGTGCTGCAACTTCATATGAAACAAGGCTACTCTTCCTGAGCGCAGATCTCAAATTTACGTGAGTATTCTCGGAAACTCGGTCGTGATTGTGTCTTATTTATTAATCTCCCTGCCGCAGCCCTCTATTCCCAGGTACTTGCTATGCAGTTCGATTGCCGATGCTTCCGCTCACATCAGGCCCACTAAGTATAGCAGCTATTAAAGTCATAGACCTAGAGACAAATGATACCATAGAGATCGAAAAATTACCGGATATCATCGCGGGCCTGTAACAGGGCTCCTATTTAGATGCCCAATGGGATTTATATCCAGAAAGGAAGGGATCACATAAATATTTCCTTGGGCGCCTTCTTATACAAGATGCCAATCAGAAACTGGTGACCCAATCCTCTTCTCAAGTACCATTTACTAAATTTTAAATCTCATTGATAATCCTCGAGACAATCACTTTAGGCGAGCGGTTAGCCCTTTTTAAGTCCATGAAAAGAGGTCCTTAATTGATCAATCCCATATATTCCTTGCTTACCTTGTTAATCTTCCTCCGCAGAATTAGTAAGGGATAAATAGGCAGTCCATGCAATGCCAACTGAAGATACAAAAGGCTTATTTTGTAGTTAGTTTTGTCTCTTCGTCCAGGGAAAGCAAAAAGGGACAACTAACGATTTGGAATTGAATAGGCATTATGCGGAAATTCAGGATTTGCACTAGCGGCCATAAGATGAAATTGGCTTTCAGAGTCGGTATATAAACATCCTGGAATTTACGCGTAATTGCTCTACGCCCGCCACCTTCGGCAACAGTCATAAAAGTAAAGAAACAAACAAGACCTAGTCTTGATCAGTATCAACATAATACGAACATAGAGCTGCGACACACATACCGATCGGTGCAAAAATAAGTTGATCCATTGCCACTCGCTTCAGCGCAGGTATAGTAGCATGCTTCTTGGTAATCGGGAAGATCCGCGAGAGAAAGCCAAACCATTGAAATTGGATTGGAGCCATGAAAAATCCATAGGCCATAAATCGGGTGAGGCGCTCAAAATCGAATGGGTGAGGCGCTCTTTTGGGCGTTGCTAGGTCAGTGGTTGGCTTTTTCCCTTGGTGAAGATCATGTATCTCTAATGACATAAAACTGTCATCGGAACCTCTCGTCCTCCGACTCGACTTTGCTCGTGAACGGACCGCCGTAATTGACTGTGCAACTGTATCTGCTATACCCCCAAGGACCTGACTGACTTAACGGTGGAAAACGACAAAGCTTCCTCCATGAGGACGGACTGAGAATGTACTTACAGCGTTGGTAACCATAGTTGTTAGAACTATGCAAAGAAGCAAGTCAGTATGTAGGTAACCCACCCAGTCGAGTCTGCGATGATGATGACAGTTACCTGGCCTTTCAGCATAGTAAGAGTTAAATTTCGCAGCTAATCGCATAGTGATGGCCATTTCCAAAATGAATAGGAGTGCATGCAGCAGAGGCTACAGGCCGGAGGTTAACAGTCCTTTCGGAACATTGATGCAGCCCGTAGTAAATTGAGCTTGAAATCGACTCACAACATAACCGTATATGTAACGCCTATTCAAACAGTCCAGTAGACAGAGCCTTGCTATGTTGACCATCATGGTGAGTGGGTTATACCGTGGCTGGAAACTCACGACAAGAAATGAAGACTGAGGACTTGTGGAGAAACGGTTTCCTGAAAAGGAGATTATGACGCAAAGGGCAGGATTCAAGACAAGGCCTTGGCGCTTGCTCTGATTAGTTAACTATTTAACTAGTTAATTAAGTTAGTTAATTATGGAGGAACTCCAGAGTGCTCTGTAACAGAGTAATTACTCCAAACATGCTCTGAAAATAACTTGCTAACTAGCTAGTTAATTAAGTAGTAAGTGGACAACCCTCCACAGCCAGCAAGTTAACAACTATTAACAAACTAGAGTTACTCCATACAGAGTTCTCTGTAGTTAACTGTGGTTATCAAACTGGCGTGGAGATCCCATCATTTGAAGTTAACTGACTCAATGGACAATTCTCAAATACAGAACAGATACTCCATACTCTGTACAGAACCATCCTCCATATTTAATTCAGTCAACTTGTTCCCAACTAAGTTAACCAGTCAACAAGTTTCCAACCTCACAGCTACAGAGTAGAGAGTAGTAAACTAACTAATTAGTTAGTTAACTACTCCGTAGTTACTCCAGTTACCCCACCAAGCTGTTCACCCCACCTTCCTGTTTTGTTGCTTGAAAAACATGGACACAGAATATAAAAGCAACCAATCTCCCTGGTCCCAACCTTTATTTCAACTACTTAGATAACTCAATTAAGCATTCATTTTCTGCTCATCGCAAACAAGATCGTCGGATCAGGCCAAGATGTCCTTGTCAAACAAGCTAGCTATCACTGATGTTGATCTCAAGGGGAAGCGTGTTTTGATTCGTGTATGTGCCTGAAAGCACTATCTTCTTCTAAAGATGTTTATCTTGAAATTGTCTGATGCATGGTGTGCTAGGTTGATTTCAATGTGCCACTAGATGAGAACAAGAATATCACGAACAACCAGCGAATCGTCGGTGCTCTGCCCACAATCAAGTATGCTATTGATCATGGGGCTAAATCTGTTGTTTTGATGTCTCACCTTGGTCGACCAGATGGGAAAGCAAATGGCAAATATAGCCTGGCCCCTGTTGCACCTGAATTGGCAAAGCTTCTTGGAAAGCCGGTCAAATTTGTCCATAATTGTGTTGGAAAAGAAGTTGATGAAGCTATCTCCGCGGCAAGTGATGGGCAGATAATTCTCTTGGAGAATCTTCGTTTCCATCCGGAGGAAGAAGGAAGCTACAAAGATCAGGATGGCAAAAAGGTCCAAGCTGATAAAAGCAAAGTTGACGAATTCCGCAAAGCCTTGACTGCATTAGGAGACGTGTATATTAGTGAGTGCCATAGCTTTGAGAACGAAAAGAGGATACAAGCTAAGATATTTTTAACAATGCAGATGATGCTTTCGGGACAGCCCACAGAGCCCATAGCTCAATGGTTGGGATAGATTTGCCCCAGAAAGCCTCGGGGTTCCTAGTCAAAAAGGAGCTGGAATATTTCGCAAAAGTCCTCGAAAACCCACAGCGCCCCTTTTTAGCGATTTTGGGAGGTGCTAAAGTTTCAGACAAAATTCAGTTGATTGACAACCTCCTCGACAAAGTCAACAGCCTTATTATTTGTGGGGGGATGGCGTTCACTTTCAAAAAGGTCCTCGACAATATGAAAATAGGGAACAGTTTATTCGACGAACCTGGAAGCAAAAACGTACACCATATCATGGCGAAAGCCAAAGAATGCAACGTGGAAGTTGTCCTCCCAGTGGACTTTATAACCGGAGACAAGTTTGCTGCCGATGCAAAGGTCGGCTATGCTATCGATAGTGACGGCATTCCAGATGGTTGGATGGGCCTTGATTGCGGTGAAAAGAGCATCAGGCTCTTCCAAGCCGCGATCAAAGAAGCAAAGACGATCCTTTGGAACGGCCCTCCTGGCGTGTTTGAAATGGATGCGTTCGCCAAAGCGACCGAGGAGACTATTAAGGCTGCCGTATCCGCTGCGCAAGAGGGGAAGGTGGTCATTATTGGCGGCGGAGATACCGCTACCGTCGCAGCGAAGTACGGCGTGGAAAGCAAGCTGAGCCATGTATCTACTGGCGGCGGGGCATCCCTGGAACTGCTTGAAGGGAAAAATTTGCCTGGCGTTTCTGCCCTGTCGAACAAGTGATTTTCTCATCATTGCTACACAGGAGAACCCGAGTACTGAAAGTTTGGAAATCTGATTTTCGATGTGTACCACTGTAACTGAATAGCTTCAAGATATAGTCGACTATATTTAAAAGTCCGAACGATTCGATCAACAAAAGATTCATGCGGATGTGTTCCATTCTCTAGATTCATTATCCCGGTCACAAAGTGACTAGTAGTTAATAGGTTAGTTAACTAAACAGTTCGCTATGATTTAGCAGTAATTTCCTTAACTAGCTATGGGCACAAGGGCCACTGACTCACTGTTCTTGTGACTCTCTAGTCTAGTAATGCCTGGTTATTTATGTATAACAATACCTTTAGAGAGGTGGTTTGATACAGTGGTGAGGATGACTTAAATCCATGTTTTCCAGCAACTTGCTACTGCATAACGCAGGGAATGCTGAAAATCAAAACATTTTACTGCCAGTTTGTCGGCTAAGTACCAAGTTCTCCTCGAATTATCGTATCAAATCTCCCAGGCTGGTTGCAATCTATTCTATCCTCGCCAAGGAGCAAGACAAGATTCAAGGAACACTTCCAAGGATGGAAATCCAGTATGATAGAAGCGATACCCTTACAAGGTAGTGTAACATGAATTTCCTCTTTAGATTCAGAAACCAGGCCGCCAGATAAGTTTGCTGCTGCATAGTATCAGCACGGATAGCTCATTGGTGTTTAACAGCTTCCACTTTCTTCAATTCTTCCCTAAAGTTAATCACGGTTGATTAGTGAAAAGGTCATTCAAATGGCCTAGGTATTTCAAGGGCTAAGCATTCTTGGTTTTCAAAAGACTGACTTTAGTTGCTGCGAAAACTCCTCGTTGCTGTCGACATCATCCCAGCTTTCCTCCCATAGATGGTCGTTGTTCGTGCCGGTTGAGCCAAGGGCTTCGGCATCTTCTTGGGGCCAGTCTAAGCTCGGAATCAGCAATTGAAGCAATATAACAATCGCAAGTCTACCTTCAACAGGGAAATCCTCAAACTCGTCGTCTTCATCAAGTGGGGTATTGGATGTCTTGAGATGGTTTGCAGTTTTGTCGTGGAGCTGGCCTCCAGTCTGAGATCGGATAGGAGCAGATTGTGATGACATGGTGGGTTGATAATTCAGTATTTTTGAGACTTCGATCTCATCAATCAGTAAAGCAAAACAAACATTCATGCAAGGTCTAGATATGTGGATACTGTTGTGGGCAGTGCCCAAAAAGAGAGTGTAAGAAGCTTGTGCTGCTTGACACTTGTACTTTGTTGAAGGTTCTAGATGCAGAATCCTTCTAAGCTCTAAAGCAGCTTGTTCACTAAACATGACTTCGCCAAGCATTCGGGGCTCAGCCTGGGCGAGCTCACCACCTATGAGGTAACGTATCTGACCACTCAACGATCCCTACCACATATCAGAGGTCTATGGATTCAAAAATCCACAACAAATTGAAATATAAAGATAATTCTTCTAAATTGCAGAAATATATTATTGAAATATAATAATCTAATATATATTTTAGATCATGTCTTAATGTCAATATAAGCTTAAAATACATTATGTAAATTGATTGATTTATTAAATACATTAATGATTAAAGTATTGTATTATAATATCAATATAATATAGATTTAATTCATTTTAGAATTATATATAGTTAGTATATATAATATAGTAAAGCTCAAATGCACTTATAGATTAAAAATTTATGATATTTTGAGAGAGAAATTCTTAGTTGAATTTTGTACTGATTATGTAAAGATATTAAATATCTGATATCAGAAGTATAGTATAATATAAAAATTTATTAACTATTTTTATGGCTTATTAAGCAATATTTGAAACATTTTGTAACTTTATAATAAATTCCTATATAAAATTCACATTGTTATAATTTAATAGAATCACAAAATATATACTTTATGTATTATGAAGCATATTCTGATAAAACTTCTTATATTAATATTCTTCTGATAACAATGAGATTATATAAGTATATAAATATTACTTTTATACTTTTAATGTTTTCTTTTCTTCTATTATCAGTCAATTTCTGTTTTTTAATTATATTCCTTTTTGTAAAATAGTTAAAAAAGGAAAGGAAAATTGAAAAGAAATAAGTAAAATAATTTTTATATTATAAAAAATATAGAGATTTTAGTATCTCAAGTCTTTTTGTTTTTTATTGAAAATTGTTTTTAAATACTTTAATGGTGTTAAGATATTATGTGAGTTTCTTGAAAGATCTCATATTGCAAGAAGAAATTGACTGAATACTTGATTTCTACAATTGTTTTGTTAATTTGTTACTCTTTTTGACTGATATGTTGAGATATGATTGATGTTGTTGAGATTTCTCATCTCAATCTTATGTATTTAGTACAGTGCCATAGTCTTAGACTGAATGCACTTATTGAAGGAAAAATAAAATGCAATAGTAAACTAAAGAAAATTGTAAAAATTAAGATATATATAATATCTTATAATTTATAGTTTTTTTCTATTAGAACTATTCATTTTTATTTATATAAATTTTTTTGAGTTGTAATCTCTCAAATTACACATGATATATCTTAATTAATTCAATTACAAATTTAGTACAAAATTATAAGCTATGTAATGTATTCAATTTTAAGAATTTTAAGGTTCTGCTTTTTGGGTATTCAGATATAGATATATATTATTAATATTAAAGATATCTTAATGTATAAAGTTATATTTATTATAATATACACAAGTTTATTATTCTGATATTAAGAATATTGGTGCTATACATGATGTATTTTCAATTCAATTTTAAAGTTATTAAAATATAATAAGATGAATAGTAAATATCTTCTTTTCAATATCTTATCTTCTCAACCAGAGACAAGTATCTTTTAGCATAGTTTACTGAAGCATTATTACAATATAAAAATAATAAAATTTAATTGATAGAAAACTGTATGAACTAGAAATTATTATAATTAATTATATAATCTATTAAATTCAATAAAACTTCTTTCAGTATGAGCTTTAGAAATAAAAAGCAACTTCACAAGCAGAATATTCTAATCTAGACTTTATAGCTTATTTTTACTTTATAATTTTATCTTTTATTTTTTTAATTTTATATGTGCACCACAAACAAGCCAGACAGTTTTCTAGATTAACATATAAATAAGAAATAGATAGATCAGTTGATTGTGAAAGAGTCTGAATTATAAATATATCAGTCATGTCAAACATTTGCTTATAGAGCTTCTTATAAAAACTTAATTAAGTATAGATCTTAGTGCTAGATCTTTTAAGATATAAGTACTGAATCTTATAAATATTCACAATAGCAGCATCAAAAATTTAGTAAAAAGTATAATAAGCAGCACAATCACCACCAACCAAATACATCAGTTTTCATCAAGATTTTGATATCAGTTTGAAGCTCTCATCAAGCTCTATCATCTGCTCTATTTTTATTTTATATTTCTTTCTTGTTATTGTGTTCTTCAACTCTTTTATTGTGTGCTATTGCTATTCATTGTGAAGCTAAAGTTTGTCACAGTGAGATATAATGATCAGAGATGCACTTTCTACTGTACATTATAAAGATCATAAGTACAACTTTGCTCATTATGTCTTTCTCATCTGAATCTGAGAATTTGTTTCAAAAAATTATATTCAAAACTTCTGAAAATAATAAAAAACAAGTAAAAAAAGTTATAAAAAGACAGATTGAACAGTCTCTTTCTGACTCTGATATTAAATCTTCTGCAAAAATTTCAGCTTTCTACATTAATAAAGTAATCATTAATCTTGAACTTGCTATCAAGTAAAATCAAGATGATGAGCTGCAGATTAGATTGCAATCTTAAGTTAAATATCTTCAAAATATTCTATTGCACAAATAAGACTTGACTGAATTTAAATTAAATTTAATGCAAAATCAGATTAACTCAGTGCAGAATAATATAATTAAGAAATTTAATATGATTTAATGTGATATTGAGAATCTATCTGCAAAAGCTGACTTGAATTTTGATTCTGCAAATCATAATCAATTTAACATGCATGCTGCTGATGAAAATCTGGAGATCTGTGAGTTTCTGACTGAAAATTAACAGATAAGAAGCTATACTCAAGTTTTTTTTTTTTTTTTTTCTTCAAAAAGTGCATTCAGTCTAAGACTATAGCTGTTATAAACCTTGCAGCACAGCACAGAACCATTGCATGCCATTGAAAGAGTGTATGGAGGATGTGACTGAGAAGTGGAGCATGATGAGACTATGAGAGTTATGGACTGGAAGAACTAGAATCTGAAAAGAAGAAGATCACATGACTGAATAGTCAGAATAGTAGTGACTATCTCAACTGGCAGATAGCTGGATAGTCAGAATAGTTATGACTATTCTAACTAGTGGACAGAAGGATAGAAGGGACTACTTGAACTATTCACAATATTCATCATGTATATAAGAATGCTCTTTACTGTTGATCAGATGAATTTGTTCATTGTGATTAATCTCTCTTACAATTCTCTCTATAGCTTTATCTATACAGATACTATCATATCTTGATTACTTTTCATATCATTGAAGTTCTGTGATACTGTATGATTGTATCTGCTCTCACTACTTTTGAGAAGATATGATGATCTTGATTCAACTCTGATATATCTGTACAGAAACTCTTTATTATTGGACAAATCTACTGACTTGAGATCAAGCACCATTGAAGTATTGATCACTAAAGCTCCAATTTATTATATTAAACAACAAGTTTGATAACATATTAATCACCTCTGACTCAGAAGAGGATACATCTGAGATCTCAGAGTTTAAGTGCAAAGAAAGAATATTGTATCACAAGTGAAAAAAGATAAAGATATGAATTCCATTCATTAAGAAATCTTATAAAATATAGAAATCATGTCTACAATTGAAATCTTGAACAGTGCACAAGAAATGATGAAAAAAATTACACAACTCAAACAGACAGTGAAAGTCTTGACTTGATAAAATCTTGAACTTAAGAACTGTAATGATCAGATTGCAGCTCAGGTCATAGCAATTCTCAATATCAGAGACAAGATGAAAGTCAACTCATCAGAGTCATTCAAGAGTGAATGAGAAAAACTATGAGTGTTTCTAGAATAACTACAAATCTATATGAATATAAAGAGAGAAGAATTCAAAGACAATAAAGAAAAGATGATGACAGCAGCATTATATTTTTGAGAAGCAGCATTTGACTGATTCAACATCTATTTGCAAAACTACTATGAGAAAGAAGAAGTTGATCAAGATGATGACATGCTTAAAGTTATTAATCATTATAATATCTTTATTAAAACACTCAAAACTACTTTCAGAGAAGTTGAGAAATGAAATACAGCAACACAGCAGTTACAGAACATGCAGCAGAAAATGTTATCATAAGAATATATTATGAGATTTCAACAAGTATGTGTCAACACAGATTGGAATGATGAGGCTCTAGCCAATACTTTTTATCAAGAACTATTTGATGACATCAAAAATAAGATCACATGCATGAAGAAATGACCACAAAACCTGACTGGAATGATCAAAGTGGCAGTTAGAATTGGAAACTGACTTTATAGTGAAAGATGAAAAACAGAAAAGGTACTATGAAAAAAACC